ACAGCTTGCCTCAGGTTTTCCTCATGTTTTCGATCGGAAACCGAAGCTTAACTTATGGAACAAAAGGGGCCTCGTTCCTTGCTTAGGGTTCCTCAGGTCAACGCCCCGACTGTATGACCACCATCGCCGAGAGCGGGATCGCCCTCCCTCGGTGGAGGCACACCGCCGCTCCCGGTGTGGGCGTCGGCCTCCGGGCCCGCGGGTCTGGGAGCCGCCTTTTTCGGCGACGGCCTGAGCTCCTTCGGAGCGAGCCCGGGGCCCCCGATGGGGCCCCCCGGAGCGGGGAGGGCCCCCGAGACCGACGTTCATGAAGGGGCTAATGGGACACACAAGTGAGTACACACAGGTAGAGGTATCCCCCCATATCTCCTATAGTTTCTGGGTTTTGTCGTCCCCCCCACTTTCCGTGTTTTCTCCCATATTTTCTGGGGAGTCGGCGATGAATTGTGTCTGTGTGTTTTCTTCTCTCCTGAGTTCAGCGGTAGCGGTCGTGGTCCCCGTGCGCGCCCGGTCCCTTGAGCAGGGACCGACCGTCCCGGCAGTCCCATAGGCCTACCACGACATGTTCGTAGAACCCACGAATGTTCCAAGAACCGGAACAATGTTCTTAGAACGTCAGCCCGATGGGATAAGACACGACAGTCTCAGCCAGAAACGTTCTAAGAACATTTCGCGGAAACCACAAGCTGTTCTTAGAACATTGTTTGGTAGGCCTGGAGGCGAGCCAGGACGCTTCGCCACTGCGGAGCTTTCCCTGGATGGCTCACGTGGCGCTCGCTCTTGGGGGCCTGGTGTGGAAGGTTTGCTTTTTTCACGAATGCTGAGAATTTAACTGATAACTCTCAGAAGGTCTCGCATGCTTCCCCGATTGCGGAAAAACGCCTGGCGGGGAGCTGACCAGGTCTTCAAAACTGTGGTGAGAGTTTAACCGATAACTCTCAGAAGGTCTCGCGTGCTTCCCCGATTGTGGGAAAACGCCTGGCGGGGAGCTGACCAGGTCTTCATGTGGAAGGAGGAGGAGGAGGAGGAGGGCAGGCAGGACCTTGCAAGACGAGAGGAAACGACTGATGCTGCTTGGCGGCTTCGCACTGCCATTAAACGATGCTCACTGCCTGACCTTGCAGGTTGTGATAACGCAGACGCAGACGCGCGAGTCCGCCGGCCGGCGGGCCGGCAGGCCCCTTAGGGGCGGCGCGGGCGGGCCGGAGCCCAGTCACTTGCATCTGAAAGTAGGGCAACCGTCAGGTAAGCTGCACTGAGTGCTATCATAAGATATTGCATCCGAAACGAAGGTTACAGACGAAAGGTAAGCTGCACTGAATGCCGCGCTGCAGAGACCAGACATTGCAAGACGAGAGGAAGCGACTAATGACCACTGTTGCGTCCGCAATGGGGGCCGGGTCCGACTAAAAAAAAGCACAAGTCTCCTTGTTCGCACTGCACATTCTCCACACATGGTGAACCGCGAGGCAATAATTTGAAGCACCCGCTGCTTGTACCACACTGGCCGTCGTGATTGCAGCCTGGGAACGGGTCCTGGTCGCGGTTGCACCACAATGTCGCGTCAACGCCGGCGCACATGCATGCTTCACACTTGTCCCTGAAGTTATCTCCCAAACAGCAATTATCATTGTAGACAGACCTGGGGCCACGACACGACGGTAAGGCAAGAAGACTGAGGTTCGGTCGCTTCGACTCGTAATCGACAACGCCGTGGGCGTTCGTGGTAATCAGATCATGCTTTCCTGGTTTCATCAAGTCCAACCGCTGGCCAAAAACGTTCTGAAGGCGGGGGTCGCCAGTGGCAGCCGCAGCCACGTCTGCGCCGGCTCCACCGCTCTGCCCGGCAGTCTGCAGCAGGGCGTGCGCCTCCTCCTCCCCGCCCTCGGCGCAGGCGGCCCCCGCGCCCCCGCTGCCGCCCGCAAGGGCCGGCGCGGCGAGGAGCAGGAGGAGCAGGGCCGGCGCCCACATCTCGAGCGCAGCTCTGCGAGAGGGGGTGCGGGCACGGCTCGACCTGAACTCGTTGAGCCAAGGCTCGAGCCCCTGATTCTTGAGCCCCTCGGCTGGTGTGGAAGGCTTGCTGCGTCGCTCCTCTCTCTCTCTCCTTCTCTCAGCGGTCTTGGCGATCACGGCTTGTGACGGCACTGCTCGCCCTGGGGAGCCTTGTGAAGACCTTGTGCCACGTTACCGCAGCTTTGTACGGCTGGAAATAAAATCACTGACCAACCCAACGCGAATCAGCGATGTTCGTCTCCTTGGGCCCTCTTGGAGACTTCTTCGGAGTAGCTCCCGGCCCTCTTGCGACTCTGTTTGACCACCTTGTGGCCCACTTGGGCAGTCTTCAAACTCTTCGGCCGTCTGGCCGCTCGCCTGAATCGCTCGGGAGCCCTGGCGGTGGCCTCTTGAGGCCGCAGTCGGCCATCTTGGGGCTCTCTCCCCCGCACAAAGGAGAGGGGGACGAGGAGCGGCGAGGGCAGAGGGATGAGCGAGGATACACATTGGTCGGAAGAAGTAGGCAAAAGCATGAAGTATGAAGGCGGATAAGGTAGATTGGGTTCGGGCCCGCCCAGAGAATAACAAAACGCAGCAAAAGCATGCCGATTCTTGAAGTAGGGAGGCGCTTAAACATGATCGACCCACGAACCCGGAAAAGGAATATAGAAATGTAAGGCATTGCAACATTTCAAAGACACCTGATTGGGCGACGGGCACATGCAATGCTGAGTGCATCGATCATGATGATGATGATGATGATGATGATGATGATGATGATGATGATGCTGATGATGATGATGTACTGTGCCGAGGGCTGTGCTGTGCTACGCCGTGCTGAACTGCGATGTGCCATGCCGCGAATGTGCTCTATATAGCGTTGTGGATCGAGTCCTCCCTGGCATCCAGGTCCTCACCGAACTGATCTGGAGCGTAAGCTCGAGCTGCCTGAGCACATGGTAGCTGCCCCAGAACTAATCGACAGAGGGAACATGCCAGGAGGACGCGCCGCGGAACGTCCCAAGGGACGCGCCAGGCGACGTGCCAGGGGACGTGCCATGGGCACGCACCGCGGGACGTGCCAAGGGGACGCGCTACGGAACGTGCCAATGGACGTGCCGAGGGACGTGCCAGGGGACGCGCCGCGCGACGTGCCAGGTGGACTCGCCACGGAACGCGCCAAGGAACGTGCCAAGGTGCATAGTTGAGTGTATCGATCTTGATGTACCGTGCCGACGGCTGTGCTGTGCTGGGCCGTGCTGAACTGCGATGTGCCATGCCGCGATTGTGCTCTATATAGCGTTGTGGATCGAGTCCTCCCTGGCATCCGAGTCCTCACCGAACTGATCTGGATCGTAAGCTCGAGCTGCCTGAGCAGATGGTAGCTGCCCCAGAACTAATCGACAGAGGGAACATGCCAGGAGGACGCGCCGCGGAACGTCCCAAGGGACGCGCCAGGCGACGTGACAGGGGACGTGCCATGGGCACGCACCGCGGGACGTGCCAAGGGGACGCGCTACGGAACGTGCCAATGGACGTGCACCGCGCGACGTGCCAGGGGGACTCGCCACGGGACGCTCCGCGGAACGTGCCAGGCAACATGCCAGGCTGCAATGCTAAGGGTATCGATGTTGATGTACCGTACCGAGGGCTGTGCTGTGCCTGGGCGACCTGGACATGTGAAAACACGCGTTTCGCTCAAGACGTTGTCAGCACATCCTCATGCTAGACATCAGCCTGGGCAACCTGGACACGTACAAACAAGCGTCTCGCTCGAGACATCCTCAACAAATGCTCATGCTAGACATCCGCCTGGGCGACCTGGACACGTGAAAATAAGCCTCTGGTTCGAGACTTCCTCAACAAATCCTCATGCTAGACATCTGTCTGGGCCACCTGGAGGCGTGAAACCAAGCGTCTCGCTCGAGACATCCTCAAGACCTGGGCACGTGAAAACAAGCAATCCACTTGAGAGATTCTCAGAATTCAGGTCCCCAGGAGAGGACAATCTACAACACAAAACAAGCGTTTCGCTCGAGACATCCTCAATCAATTCTGAAAAACAAGCGTTTCGCTCGAGACATCCTCAAATTTTAATTCGCCGGCCCTACGCGACCTCGTAATTTATCGCAGAATAATTTCGCCGGCCCTACAGCCGTCGAAACCGGGGGTAAACCAACTAAAAGAGAACCCTGGGCCTTTGCCCTTTCCGGGAAAAAACCCTAATCCTAATAACACTGTGAAGTCGTGGCCTAACTTGGGTCTACGAGGTCCACGATTTTTGGAATATCCCCTGGGCTTTTCATGGTTTCGTCTGACACATCTACAAAACAGCCCCCCTTCGCCTTAACGTGTCTGGCCCTCCTAACTTAGGGCCCCTCCCTTTGGCCCAAAGGATTGGGGGTTACCTGTTGTAATGCTTACCACCCTCTGGTGTCGCGTTCGCATGTCGCTCACAGTCAGAATGACGATTTCTCGCATGCCAGTGCAACCGCCAAGCCTGAACCCATTGCTCGAGGATCCCCGGACGGCGCGCTAGCGCCAGCCTGCTCTTGTCCAACGAGGCCCTGCAGTTCGACGCACTCGGCGCAAAGAGGGCCGCTCCGGGCTGTGTGCTGTCGGCGGAGCTGAACCGGGTGAACGCGCAGCTGGGGAGACCAACAGGTACCAATACCGCCACTCCCAGGACCTCTCCCGGGGTGCGTTCTGACTCGAATTTCGAGGCGAATCCAACGGTGGCGACGAGGGCCTCGGGGGAGGCCCAAAAAGGGGCAAACGGGCGGAGGGTGGCGGTATGGGTACCCTTTTCTCCCCTGAGCCGTGGGCCAACACGCGTCCTGATGATCATCGAGAGCAGGAGCAGGAACCTGAGGATGATAAGGAGGGGAGCAAGATGGGAAGGAGGAGACGAGGAGGAGGAGGAGGAGGAGGAGGAGGAGGAGGAGGAGAAGAGATTGAGCGATTGCTGGCGTGACCGCGGCGCGGAAGAGGAGGGGTCGGCGGCTCGCCCGCAGCAGCTGGCGCGGCACCGCGGGGAGGAAGTCGTGGCATCCTGGCCGGGGGTGGCACCGGCAGGAGGCCTCCCGCCTCGGGTCCGAGCAGATGGGCTCCGAGGATCGCCGATGCTTCGCCGATGCATCCGCGGTGCGTCGCTGACGTCGGCGACGCAACGGCGACGTCGGGAGAACATCGGGATACCCCGACGGGCCGCATCGCCGATGCATCGGCGATGCGCTGCGATCCTCCGACCGCATCTGCTCGGACACCATTGTGCGGGAGGCCTACAGTCGGGGCGTTGACCCAAGGAACCCCAAATATGGAACGAGGCCCCTTTTTTCCATAAGTTAACCTTCGATTCCCCATCGAAAACCTACGGACAAACTGAGGCGAGCTGTGAAACACTTTAAGGAACGCAGAGCCCCTCCCCAACGAAAAGGGTTCCTTCTTCAGGGCCCCGACTGTAGAGCTGCAGGACCGCAGGGGCCGCCAGCCCCGAGGCCCCCCCGCCAGGGGCAGAACGTCGGAGGAGGGCCTGGTCGGGACACAGCGGCGTCCCTCCCTCTGGCGCTGCTGCCTGGCGCCGCCCGTCTTCGCCGCCGCCGCCGCGGCCGGGCCCGCCTCGAAAAGCAGGTCGGCGTGGAGCCCCGGAGGGGCCTGGGCTCCGGGGGCCGACTTGCGCGGACCTGGGCCAGGCGGGACAAGCCGCCTTCCTCCGATCTGGCCATCCTCCGACAACGAGCTGCTGCACAGAGAGAGCACCCCATCACCCTCGATCAGTCCAGAGGCCTCTGGCCTTGATACTGGGCCTCCGGAGGTCTACGCGGACCTTGGGGCATCTTCCACTCCCTGTCCTCGCCTGCCCAGTCGGTCGTCGGCGTCGCGCGGGCGAGGCGGGGGTCCTGGCGAGCCAAGGCCTCCAGCCAGTCTCGGGCCGAGGGCACCGGCGTCGTCATGCGCGGCCGCTGTGGCCGCCGCAAGGAGTTGGCGAGGCATCTCTCGGCGGAGGGACTACGCCATGCCGCCGCTGGGGGGAGGTGCGTCCTCGAGCAGCTGCACCCCTGGAGAAAGAGGAAGAAAAGGTATACGAAGGAAACCAGGAAGAAACAATCATAACAATAATGTGACAACCAATGAGAACAATAACGAGAAGACGAAATATTGGAAGGATAATGCTTTTAATAAAAGCAATATTCATACACATACAATACACTGAGAAGAAGAAACATGGTTCGAGGCTGGAGCAGCACAGACCCGAACCGATAAGCTGTGATGATTTCCCCACTTTGGGGCCCCAGGGCCACCAAACATGCATAGTGGACGCACAATTGCCCCCCAAGACGCGGTCGGGAGCACCTGGGGCCACGGATTGAATAAATCACGTTGGTGGTCACATCCGAACCTTCCCCCCGCCAGCCAACGATTCCCCTGAATCGACGGGGGGCGGAGGTATGGTTCGACGGGGGGCTTCGGCTTTCGCCGCCGATCACATCGGCGGATGTCGTGGGAGGGGCGAGGCGGGCGGGGGCGAGTCGAGCGAGCGTGTCAAGGATGAAGAGGAGGAGGAGGAGGAGGAGGAGGAGGAGGAGGAGGAGGAGGAGGAGGAGGAGGAGGAGGAGGAGGGGGGAGAGGAGAGGAGGAGGAGGAGGAAGGAGGAGGAGGAGGAGGAGGAGGGGGAGGAGGGGGGGGAGAAGGAAGGAGGAGGCGGAGGAGGAGGAATGGGAGGAGGAGGAGGGGGAGAAGGAAGGAGGAGGGAGAGGAGGAGGGAGGAGGAGGGGAGGGGGAGGAGAAGGAGGAGGAGGAGGAGGAAGAGGAGGAGGAGGGAGTAGGAGGGAGGAGGGAGGAGGAGGAGGAGGGAGGAGGAGGGAGGAGGAGGAGGAGGGAGGAGGAGGGAGGAGGGCAGAGGAGTGAGGAGGGGTGAAGAAAAGTGGGGGTGGGGGGGGGACCGGCCAGTCGGGGCGAGGCCGCCCCCGTGTGAGAGAGAGGAAAAAGGTGCCCCTCCATGGGGAACGAGGGGAAGGACGGCAGGAAAGGAGGGGAGGAGAGGAGCGAGGATGGGAAAGGGAGCCATGGAGCCATGGGGAACGGAGGGGCGACACCCGCGCGAGAGCACCGCCTCACAAAGAATACTGCCTCCTCGCCAAACGGACCGCCCTCCGCCCCCACACGGGGAGGCCCCCCTCCTCGCGTGGCAGGGGAGGCCGCTCGCTCATCGGCGAGGAGCTCACGCAACACAGTCGAGGGCGGGAGAGGGAGGGGGGACGAGGAGGAACAACGGAGCAGTGGAAGGCAACGGGAGTAAGGAAAGGGGAGGGACGCGGAGGGAAGGAAGGGGAAGGACGAAGTGCGGAGCACGCGCGCGGCGAAGTTGAGGCTGATGACATATCCGATGGCGGCTCAGAAAGCGCGCGTGCCGTGGCTGCTATTTCTTGGCAGCGAATACCACTGAGGATGAGGTGGGGGGGAGAACAACGGCTCTATTTGATGATGGGGGGAGGAGGACGAGACGAGGTAACTGGAGAGAGGCCCAGAATGAAAGCGAAACAATGGAGGGAGCACGAGGTCGCGGAAAAAGGACGACCCTTTCGACGTGGCGCCAGTGAGACCCTCCTGCCCAAGCATGCCAGGGCAAGTGCTAAGCACCTCGTCGACGGCGGCCCCCTGGGAGCCCGAGAACGAGTGGCTGAGCACCCTTGTCCAACCTCGTCATCTTCCCTCTCCTCCTCCTCCTCGTCCTCCTCCTCCTCCTCCTCCTCCTACTCTTCCTCTTCGTCCTCATCCTCCTCCATGCTCGCCATTTATTTTCCTCCTCGGCCTGCTTCTCCCTCATTTCGTCCCTCCCTCATCCGCTCCCCCACGTCCTCATATTTCCCTCCTCCGGTCTCCCCATCGGTCGGTCGGACGTATGCTGTCGCCTTCAAGATTGCTATGGCCGGTTCGAGTCTGGGTATAGCAAAGCAAGGGGAGAAACAGAGCAGCACAAGGTTGCTCCTCTAGCCGACAACGCCGTCGCGCCCCATCCTGGATGGGGCAACGATAGGGGAGCATCGCCGATAGGTCGGCGATGGACCCTCAATTGTGAGTCCGCGGGCTGGGATATCGGGCCCCGACCGGCGATGAACGGGCGATGGGGGGTCGACGAACCAACCCCTGGAGCCCAGCGCCCCCACGCGGGGAGATGCCTGCACAGGGTGTTCTTCTCGGTACTCGTCGGTCTTTGTTGTATTTTGTGTGGCAGGTGGTCGGCCCTCGGGCCGAGCAGCTCGATGCCCCATCTTTGACTCCGGCGCTGGCGGTTGCACCTCGGCCACCTGGGGGGCCCGAGTGTAACCACCGTCGCTGAGATCGGGAACAGCCTCCCTCGGTGGAAGCACACCGCCGATATCGGTGTTGGTGCCAGCCTCCCGGCCTCCGACTAATCTTGCCTCTGAATCCTCCTCCCCCTCCGCCCCTAACATTAGGTCGGGCATGTCGTGCTACAGGCGGATTTTGGACATAGGAGAAAAAAAAACGACCCTGTCGGCGTGTTGTAAGGGCTCTTCCGTTCGTCGTCGTCGTCGTCGCCGTCGACGTTCATCTTTTTTCCCTGGACTCTCCTCCTCAGTCGCGCCAGCTGGAACGAAATTATGTAGCGTCGTGCGTAATTGAATCGAAAGCCAGCCCCTTCCCATGATTCTTTCCCCGCTGGGGGGGGGGGCAGGGGCGCTCCCGGGGGGCGTCCCGGGGGGGCCCCGGCGGCGTCCCGGGGAGGGCCTCCCCTAGAAGACAAGACATGGTAACCAAAGCACGCGCCCAAAATATTGTAATTTACAATGGTTTGTTGCATGCGCGTGCGTAACCAAATCGGCTTCTTGTTGAGCCAAGTTCGTATGAGAGGGGTGCATTGCTTTGATTTGGTTGCGCGCAATTTGATTACGAAGTGTGATTTGGTTATGATTTGGTTATGAAAATATTAAATTTGGCTACGATTTGGTTACGCTATACCAAATTTGCTTACGATTTGGTTACGTTCCCATATGGTTACGATTTGGTTACGATTTGGCAAAACGGGGTCCGTCGTGGAAACGGATGATGTGCTCAAGCGCTGACTGGGAGGGATTCTGTCGTCTTTTAAAGGACCCCCCTCCGCGGGACGCGGACAGGCGACTGCACCACACCCCTGCAAGGACCTTGCAAAGACCATGCAAAGCCCCCCTGCAAAGACCATGCAAAAACCCTAAAAAGACCTCGCAAAGACCCTGCAATACCCTGCAAAGCCCCCTGCAAAGACCCTGCAATACCTCAGGAGGTCCTTAGAGGCCTCCAGGAAGCCCCAAGAGAACCCCAAGAAGCCCCCCCCAAGAGGCCAAAATGAAGCCCGTGAAAAGGCCCCCAGACGGCCCCCAAGAGGCCTGCAAACTGCATCCAACAGGGCCCCGAGAGGACCCCCACGATATCCCAGCGGACATCCAAGAGGCCTATAACCTACAACCCAGGCACGGTGGCAGGACTTGCCGCAGGCAGCTGGATAGTTAGTGTTGCGAAGAGCCGAGCCTGATGCAGCTGCATGTGACGTAGAGCATGGCATGTTCTCTTTACGATGCGAGCCGCAGGGCACTCAGGATCGGGAGCTGCCGTGGGCAGGAGGGCGCCGAACTCCCTGTGGGGCAAAGTACTTGTGAGGACAGTGCTGAAATCGACGGGGGGCACATCTGGTCACGCCCGACAAGGCAAGAAGTGGAGTTTCCTGAGGAAACGATCCACGTAAGGGGTGTGCTGAAATGGGGGCGGCAGCGCCGTGCGAGCACCTCCATTCAAGCCATTGGTGGAATTCCCTGAGGGGCACGCTCCGCGTGAACGGTGTGCCGACATGGGCAGGGACGCCATGCCAGCACAACCAGTGGGCTAGGTGAGGGTTCCCAGGTGGCACGCCTCGCGTGAGGGTTGTGCCGCAATTGGCGGGGAAAGCGTACGCGCGGAATAAATCCCAGTGGAACGCCCAAGCCCTACGGGGCAGATTTGGTAGCGGCGGCGCCATGCGGACGCACTGGTTAGGGCCATAGGCTATAGGTGGAGACCCACGAGGGGCACGAGCCTCATGGAAAATGTGTCGACACGGGGACGGCGGCGCCATCTGGACACACCCGCTGAGGCCATAGCTGGAGTTCCCTATGAGGCACGATCCTATGAAGAGTATGCTGAAATAGGGAACGGACGCACCTGTTGGTGCCACGGGTAGAGTTCCCTATGAGGCGCGATCCTCGAGAGGGGAGTGCCGACACGGGGGCGGCTCCATGCGGACGCACCCGCTGGGGGCATAGGTCGAGCTCCAAACTGTCCGTGGTCATTGTGAGGTGTAAGCTGAAATGGGGACGACGGCACCATGCGGAAGCACCCAGCAGGGCCACAGGAGGAGCTTCTTATGGGGCGCGACTCTTGCAAATCATGTGCCAGCACGGGGACGGCGGCGCCTTGCCCTCCATCCTCGAACCTCAAATGGAAGCGAAAGCGGGCCTGGCCGCGCGTCCACGGCGCCGCATCCGCGCCGGCCGCCTCGTGAACCACCTCCCCGGGGCCGCGTCGTGTCGGCGCCAGCGTCGTCGCTGTCGCTGCCGTCGCCGTTGACGTCATCGTCGCTGACATGGTGGGAAGAAGAGGTAGGAGGTATGGGGAGCACGTGAGGGAAAAGAGGAGGATAACGGCATGGAGGATACACCTCCAGGACGAAAGTTTGTTTCCTCTTAGGGTCGGAACGACGGCTTAAAGTCTTGAGCAGACGCGTATGGGATAACCACCGTCAGATCTAATGATGTTCGCGCGGGTCCACTGTTGGCTTTGGTTTCTGTTTCGGTGGATCCGACTTTCGTCCGCGCCGATCCGATTTGGGATGTCATGGGTTTGTGTCCGGTCCTATTACTGCAGACCCCTTTTTTACCCCGCTCTCTAATTTATAACACAAACTACTTTCTTAAAACAAGCAAAAAACGTGGAACCGGGAGAAATCGGACCTGCGGACCCCGGAACCCGCCCTTGTTCAGATTCTACGGGGGAGGGGGGTTCGGTCATCAATTTCCCAAGATGAGTCCTGCGCTGTCTCGCGCACTCCCAGAAACTCTCCATGCGCGGGCCCCACTCAACACGAATGCACATCTCTCCTCCGGGTTGCTGCGGGCAGCTCGTCCAGACGACGTCCTTTCGGCGGCGCCGATGCTATCTTGTGAGATCCTCATCGCCAAAATGTCACATCAAGAGGAACATCTCTCGTCCTGCGAGTAAGTGAGGCGGGGAGGAGGCCCGGAAAAGGAGAGGAGGAGAGGAGGGGGGGAGGAGGGGAGGAGGAGGAGAAGGACAGGAGTAGGAGGAGGAGGAGGAGGAGGAGGAGGAGGAGAAAGGAGGAAAGCCCGGGGGATGACGAGGAGGCCCACGGGAGCTCTGCTTCGCGGCGGGGCCCTCTCGGCACGCGCCCTGCCGCCCCCAGGTGTGTGCCGGGGGGCGGCCCTGGCCTGCAGCGCTCCTTCCTCGCCTCCCCGCATCAAATCCCCCGCCCCGCCCCTACCCCACCCACAGCAGCTGCGCCTGCCTGGCGCCATGCACGCTGAGGGAGGAGGAGGAGGAGGAGGAGGAGGAGGAGGAGGAGGAGGAGGAGGAGGGAGGAGGAGGAGGAGGAGGAGGAGGAGGAGGAGGAGGAGGAGGAGGAGGAGGAGGAAGGAGGAGGAGGAGGAGGAGGAGGAGGAGGAGGAGGAGGAGGAGGAGGAGGAGGGAGGAGGAGGAGGAGGAGGAGGAGGAGGAGGAGGAGGAGGAGGGGTATTCCTACGGCATATTTCTTGGGCAAGCATGAGCCATCCAGGGGGGGCCCTGCTGTGCCAAATTGCCAGGGACCGCATCACCGCGCCGTTCGAAGGCCCTGCTGAGATTACTTGCCCGCTGCTTGGTCAGCCAAAGCCTACTCATTGTGATCATGTTGCAAGCTATTACAAAACTGGATCTAGCTTAGGCCAGGGCGAGCTTGAGCTTGGATGCGTGGCGGTACACATGCCAAGACAGTCTTAGCACGGTCACGAACGCACGAAATCTGTGGTCTGCTGCACCTGCTGCTTGGAGTGACTGCGACTGCTCATGGCTCCGTCTGGTCGAAATCCTCCATGAGGATCCTGACGATGTGGATGGCGTTGCAGCTGGCTGGGCCCGCAGTGATGGCAGCCAGGTTAGTGGCCCTGCACGTTGGAATGGTATGGAGGCCGTCGCTGTTCTCACTCATATGATCCTTGAGCTGCTGCTCGCAAAACCAGAGCTCCTGCATGAAATCCTCGTTGAACCACCCCTGTTGGGGGAAGGCTATCCTGCTTGAACTCACTCATGCTGAATATCCCTCATTCGCTCCTGCCTAAAACCATGAGCAAACTGCTGCTTGGACACATCTTTGCACTCATGCCTGAACTCATGCAGAAGGCGATGGAAGTCATCAGCCAAGCTGCGATGGAGCTCCCGCTTGGGCCAGTCGCGTAAGAATGACCGAAAGCAAAAGCGACCTTCTACGCGGCATTCCGAGCGTTGCATGCGATGCGACAGCAGCGGCTTGGGTGCCTGGCTGGCCCCCACGCGGCGGGCTGTCTGCGCGCAGCCCGAAGAATCACCACTCCTGGGGCAGGCAAGCCTCCGGAGCTCGCCTGGAGGGCGCGGCGATGCTGCTGCTCGTCGCCACCGCGCCTGCTCTTCTGCCGCCTGGGTCGGGGGCCACGGTCAGCAGGATAAGTCCTGCTGGAGGAGGAGGAGGAGGAGAGAAGGAGGCGGAGGAGGAGGAGGAGGAGTAGAAGGAGGCGGATGGATGATGATGATGATGATGATGATGATGATGATGATGATGATGATGATGAGGAGGAGGAGGAGGAGGAGGAGGAGGAGGAGGAGGAGGAGAGGAGGAGGAGGAGGAGGAGGAGGAGGGGGGGGTGAGGAGGGTGAGGAGGGGGAGGGGGAGGAGGAGGAGGAGGAGGAGGAGGAGGAGGAGGAGGAGGAGGAGGAGGAGGAGGAAGAGGAGGAGGAGGAGGAGGATGAGGATTCCCGTCTTTGGGGGACAAGTAAAGGGACGTCCTGGGCTGCTCGGGAACTAGGCCCCAAAAAGTTACTTGGGCCCGACACGTGAAAACCTTCAAGTTTCGGTGGAGGAGGAGGAGGAGGAGGACGAGGAGGAGTGCTCGAAATTCTCTCTGGTGATCAAGGCTGCAGCAGGTTGGAGCATCATAAGTCAAGGCACCTTCTGGGTTGCCCGGGAACTAAGAGCTCGATGTGCAGACCCCAAAAACCTACTTGGGACCAATCTTGGGGAAAACCTCCGGAAGCCACGACGAGGGCGCCTCAGGGCTACTCCGGCGAGGGGCTGCTGCGGCGACCTCTCTTGCGTGCCACAACCCACGAGCAGGGCGCGCCGCGCGCGCGCGCCACGCCCAGGGGAGCAACAAAAAGCTGCAAAAACGCTCCACAGGGGAGCAAAAAGCTGCACGCACAGGGGAGCAAAAAGCTGTTGGTTCGGAACGCGCGACCCTGAGGCCCCAGGAGCAAAAAAAAAAAAAAGCGGCCAGAAGCGTCCACAGGGCCAAGTTCCCTGCAGGACCCCTGCCCTCCCGTGCACCCGACAATGCCTCGACCCTCGACCGTTCCCCGGGGGCCCGGGCAGCCCCTCACCCCGATGTCTGCTCGTGCTGGGGTCCGGACATCGGTGGGAACAAGGAAAGGCGACACCAACACCAGCAGGGCGAGGAGGTGCGAGGAGGCAGGGGGAGTCTCCCTGGTGGTGTGGTCCCCCCCTCTCGCTCGAGACATCCCCAGCATCCAGCTCGGGGAGGTATCGTGGACCTCCTCGCTGGAGGTGGGCCCCTTGGTGGCATTGGTATCGCTTCTCCTCCCTCCGAATCGGGGGCGCCCAAGATGGGCGTTGGCAAACTAGTGGCCCGAGGCGTGTGCGCAGCCCAGGCGGGGGCCAAAGGGCGTGCTGCTAGACGAAGGGGGAGCCATGAAACCCGGGAGATGTTACCGTCACGGCCCCATTCTATATCCACCACCTCCTGGACGCCCCCTAGGGCCCGTGGGCGGAACACAGAGCCGTAGCCACGGCCTTGCTGGCTGGCCAACTGGGCCGCGGCCCCGCGGATACCAGGCGTGTTTTTTGTCCGTGGATGTTCTGCGCGAAACGTCTCTGTGCGGCCGAGCATTCGTGGGACCGAGCCATCGAATCCAGAACGCAAGGCCACTTGCCGCTCGTAGAGTTTGTGCGCGTGCAAGTGTAAGGCCCTCTAGATGGGGATGGAGCAGATGGGGTCGGAAGATCACGCCGCATCGCAGATGCATCGGCGATGCATCGTTGATGCGTTGGCGATGTACCGGAGATGCGTCGGCAACGTCGGCGATGCATCGGCGCCGCTGGCGTAGGGAAAACTAGGGGCTTCACATCGAGCCGCGTCGCCGATGCATCGGCGATACGGCGCGATCCTCCGACCCGATGTGCTCGGACCCCATCTGGAGGCGATAAAACCGTGACCGCCCCCCCCCATCCCCCGTCACGAGTCGTGCTGGCGCCGCCTGGGAATTATAGCCGCTTTCATGTATTCCCAGACGGCGCTGGTGAAAATCTTGACGTGGCTGGCCCCATGCCCCCTTCCGCTCCCCGCGGTCACGCTCATGGGATGAGGGGATCAACAACTGTCTCTTGGGAGGCCTAGAAATTGTCCCTGGTGGCTTGGAAAGGGGCACCAAAACCAACACAAGGGGCTGCCACCACACGGGGGAAGATGATCCGAGACTTTGGTGCAGTGTAGTGGCACTCCTTGGCCACCGGAATCATCATCCCTCGGTGCAAGCACACCTCCGATTTTGGTGTTGGTGTCAACCTCTACTTGGACGCCCGAAATGGTACGGGAAAAAATTCACGATGCCCAACCAGAAATGTTGCCAAAAACTGGCAGCGGTCGTTGTTAGGCAGGCGCCCTTCTGTCTCGAATGGGCAACGCCCGCGCTGACACCGGCAGCGAACCCTGCTCAAGACGGGCATGAACTGCTGTCGGTCTTCGTCCCGACTCTTTCCATGCAGTCGGCCCGAATCATAAGGATGCGCGATAAGGAAACAAGGGCATTGGGCGCCCATGTCGAAGCTTCTCGAGCAAGGCGCGGCCGACGAAAGTGGCCAAGGACGGACCGAGGAGGCAAGGATGCAAGAGTATCCTTGGGAAGGTTGCCCATCCTTACTATGCGGGTTGACTGTACCCATTTCGATCGCACCGACTCCAGGCCTCACCCAGGACCGCGGCGGGCACCGCGTTCGGCGGGAGGAGGCACATGAGGCTGAGCAGCGCCGCGGGAGGAGGAGGAGGAGGAGGAGGAGGAGGAGGAGGAGGAGGAGGGGGAGGAGGAGGACGAGGGAGACGAGGAGGGGGAGGGGGAGGAGGGACGAGGAAGACAGGGGGAGGGGAATTGCCCTCTCCTCCGAAGGCAGCCCGGCGCCCCCTGGGGGCCTCGGCGGGCACCAGCTCCGCCTCCGCCCCGTCGCCGCTGGGGCGCTGTCGGAGGCGCACCTCCAACCAGGGGGGGGGGGGCGAGTCGGCGGTGCCAGGTGGCGAAATCCGCACCCCAGGGGCACCCCCTGAAATGGGACTGATTTCCACCACCACTACCATATGTTGGAGAAGGAGGAGGAGGAGAAAGAAGAGGAGGAGGACCTCTCCCTCCAACCTATGGTAGTGGTGGTGGAAACCAAGCCCATCACCCTGCTCTCTGCCCTCGCCTGCCCAGTCTCGGCGTCGCGCGGGCGAGGCGGGGGCGCTTGCGAGCCGAGACCTCCGGCCGGGCTCGGGGCGACCGGGGGCGCCACGGTGGCGTCGTCGCGCGCGGCCGCGGTGGCCGCCGCAGGGAGCTGGCGAGGCATCTCTCGGCAGAGGGGTTCCGCCACGCCGCCGCTGGGGGAAGGTGCGTCCTCGGGCTACACGCCACTGCAGGAGGAGGAGGAGGAGGAGGAAGAGGAAGAGAAGGAGGAGGAGAAGGAGGAGGAGGAGGAGAAGGAAGAAGAATAATCATAAAAAAATGCAGATCCAGAGGTGGAGGCGCGGCTCGTGGGCGGACCAGAACGGCATCGTACTGCTAAGATGTGATGATTTCAATTCCGGCGTCGTTCCTCGGTCTCGGCCTCCGGGCCCCCGTTTTACGGCCCAACATCTACCATACATGGACCCTGGACGCACGACTGCCCCGATGACGGGGTCGGGGATCGATCCGAGTCGGCGCTGGAGCAGTCTGTGCTCGCTCGGCGAAGGTTCGACGAAACGAACGTTCCTCGCGATTGATGTTTCGTAACCCTCCCGCGTTGAGTTCTCGTTTTGAATAGAGCAGCGAGGTCACGCCTCCTTCCCTCCTCTTCTATCCAGCCTATTATTTGCCTCTACCTGCCAACCAACCTGCTTCCTGCCTTGTTATCCTGGCTGCGAACTGCGAAACTGCCGGCACTTTCGAGGGCTATTGGGTGGGCCAGCATGGTCGCTGCCTACGCGGACTCAGACTACACCTCGCCATCCCTGGGGGACTGCGAAGTGTGGAGCTGCACCAAATTTCGAGGGCTGCTGGACGGTCAGCATTATCGAGGCCTACGTGGACTCAGATTAGACCTCGCCATCCCTGGGGTGCTGCGAAGTGTGAAACTGTGGGCTGCTGGGGGGGAAGCAGAAGCATAGTCGAGGCCTACGCGGACTCAGATTAGACCTCGCCTTCACTGGGAGGCTGCGAAGAGTTGAACTGTCCCCACTTTCAAGGGCTGAGGGGGGGCCGGCTTAGACGGGGCCTACGCAGACTCAGACTAGGCATCGCTATCCCTGGGGGGCTGCGACATACAAGACGCTTCCCATTTTCGAGGGCTGCGCGGGGGTGGCCAGCAAATTGGGGGCCTACACGGACTCATATACGGTCTCGCCATCTTTCGAGGGCTGCGGAGCGTGAAACGGTCCCCGATGTCGAGAACTGCTGGGGGGGGCAACATAGTCGGGGCCTGCGCGGACTCAGAGTAGACCTCGCCACCCCTGGTTCGCTGCGAGCTGCGAAACCGTCGCCACTTTCGAGGGCTGCTTAGGGGGCCAGCGGCATGACCTAGGGCTCCCAACTTCGCGCTTCGCGCTGCGCGAAGCGCGAAGCGCGACTAACTTCGCGCTCTCGCGCCGCCCCCCCAAAGGGAGAAGAGGAGGACGAGGAGGAGGGGGAGGAGGCACGAGGACCGCGAAGCGCGAAGCGCGAATAACTTCGCGCCCTCGAGGGAGCCCTTGGGGATGACGTCAAGCGCGGGCTCGGATTAGACCTCACCATCCCCTGGGGGCCCGCCGCGGTCTCGCAACGCTGCCGCCCGTGGGGGCGCCCCGTGGGCGCCCCGGGCGCCGGGCGTGTCCGCCGAGGCTTCGCCTCGGTAGCCGCCCGTGGGCGCCTCCTCCTCCTCCTCCCCTCCTCCTCTCTCCTCCTCCTCCTCCCCTTCTCCTCCTCCTCCTCCTCCTCCCTCCTCCTCCTCCTCCTCCTCCTCCTCCTCCTCGGTTACTCGGTTACTCGGTTGGTGGTGTACCGTACAAACACAGTACACTCACGGATAAAATTTTTACGTAGGTCTCCTCACCTCCCTGAGTTCACGGCCTCGGGGTGGGAGAGCTACGGAATTGGTGATGGGTAGGCCGGTTCCTGGCAGGATCCTGCGTTTGAGTTTCCTGCTCTCGGACGATGCCTTCCCATCACATGGTCCACGAAGCTTGGGGCCCGCCTTGCAAGTGGTAAATGCACCACACTTCAAGCAGTAAACGACAGGCAGCCCCGAGCTCTCGACCCAAGCCACGTGGAGGTTGTGGTGGTTCCTGGGACCACTCAGAAATGCAGCAAGGGACGGGTTCAGACCATTGCAGTCCCGACTTAATATAACCTTGCGGCCCAGATACCTAAAACACAAGTTACATCTTCTCTTGCCTTCGTGGAAAACAGCCTCGTGCGGGGTCCGTGTCTTGGGAGTGGCCCTGGGACCCAAACGAGCCCTCCCCAGCTCGCCCAACTCCCCGAACGTGGGCCACTCCCCGAGCACTTTACCCATCCCGTGAATTAGGGTAGTGTACAGTTTGGGAATGGCCATGCACTCATCAGTGACCCTGTTGCTGAAAGCATGCGCGCGGGCAGCTAGCCCAGCATGGTGGTCTGCTAGCTTGTTCCCTCGCACAAAGAAAATCTGGTCGCTGGCAACTTCCTCCTCGGACCTATGGGCCTTGACTTTGGTGAGGCGGGGAGGGTCCCCAGGGCACCACCGAGCCACTTCCCGCCAAATATGGGCCATCGGGTTGGCCCCCGACAAGGCCCAGTGGTGGGCCCTCGCGGCTTTGAGGAGGGTTGCGTAGTCAACAAAAATCTCGCCTGACTGGCACTGATCTGCTGAGTATGTGGTGGCGAGCATGATGGCACAATGTTCCGCAGACCCACTAGTCTGCTCCATCGTGCCTGGTACAGGGGACCTTATGCCTCTGACCAGCTCGCCATCTTCGTTCACTTGAATGACTGCACATCCAGCTCTGGAACAGGGTTTGAGCTGGGGAAACAAGCACGAGCCATCAGTAAACAACATTGCCCCAGGTGGGAAATCGAACGGCGCCGCCTCCACACCCCCAGGACCAAAAAAAATTATATCTTGCGCCCAGTCCTGGGCAGGGGGCTCCGCGGACAGGTCAGGCCTGGCGATCCAGGCACGGCTGAACAGAAGAGACCCTGGGCCAGCTTCCAGGGCTTGTTGAATAAGAGCCTCAGGGAAAACCTCACTTCGGACAGCAGACGCACGCGGGCACGGGCAGGACCAAACGCGGTGCCACGCAGTGTCAAGATTGCCACATCTACTACACGCTGAGTTAAATTTGAAACCCCACCTCGCGAGGGCCTCGCCCGTCGGGAGGGTTCCACAAAACAACTGCTTCACTCTGAGCTTTTCTACAAGCGTGAGCCCGAGCTTGGTGGAGTTCATCCTCTGCTTGATGAGCTCCCACCACAGTCCTCGGGTCTCAAGGTCCTGTGTGTCACAATTGTTCTTCTCACAAACTCCCCGAACGTATTTCTGGATGTACGTATCTTTCAGCTGGGTGGCAAATCTTCTGGATACCAGGGCAGGGCTGACCTCTGTGAAATTGAGGGTGTCCCCGATGGAGTCCTGGAAAACCCCTGGGCTAACCATCTTCCATCCAGCCTCCTCGCGCCAGAGTAAGGCATCGGTTATTGGTCCTCTAGAGCGAAAGAACCAATTTTTCCCTTTTGTCTCCTCAATGTGGCGGGCGGCTGAGTGCAAGGCTTTGCTGAGCAGGGCGGGCTTCAGCACATCCTTGTGGGCGTGCTCGTGCTTGTGGAAGGCCGTAGTCATCCACCATTCTGCTGCGATCCTAGTTATGCTCCTGCTCGCTATGTCGATCGGGTCCAGATATGTCGATAGAGCCCAACCGAGGTCCACTTGTGCCCCCTTGAAGAGTACCCCAGAGTCTTTTCCAGCAGAGGCCCTGATCTCCTTGATCTGGTGTGGGCTAAACGCATGGACTTCAGCGCCGTACGTTAGTGTGGCTTTCAAGTTGGTCTGGAATAACCTGTTCCTGTGCCCTGACTTGATCTTGAGCCTGGTCATCCTACACCTTCGAGCCCCGTATTTGATCCACCTCTTGGTTCGAGTCCTTCTGGTGCCCCTCCTGAGTCTATGTTGGCCTCCCGAGAAGTCCACGCCTAAGTTCGTGACGTCCCCATCATCAGGAGCTCCAGCGAGGTCCCCGAGAGCCGCGCGACCCAGCCTGAGTAGTGGCCCCGACGACGCAGCGATGCCAAACTTGTGGTAGGCGAGCGGGAGCTGCAAATCATTTACTAAATATGAACGGACCGATTCAGCCAACTCTTTGAGTGCCCCCACCACCCACCCCATGCAATCTCCCCACTGTTGGAGAGCGAGGTCGTCAACGTGGAGGGAGAGGGATGCACTATCAGACATATTTGTGGTGAATCGGTCCACACCTGGCTTGAGGAAGACCTTTGCCTCATAGGTCGCCGTCGTGGATCCTGCTACAATCCCGCGGCCTGGGTACAGTGCTGCGTCCATTAAACCTTCCAGCATAAGATGCCTTGGCCATTGGTAGGTCCCTATGGCGAACTGCAGCAAATAGAGAGGATACTTGCAATACTGGGCAGATCGAACCAACATATCATAGGTCACATGTTCGTAAAACTGCTTGATATCCCACAGGACCTGCAGAGAGAAACCTCCTGAGTTCCCTTGGTGCTCAGCAATGACAGCCTGCCTCCAGACGGTGTCCGAGGGGGACCTTCTTGGAGCCATCGAGAACCCAACATCCATCCCATACTTGGTTTCCCAGTCCTTGGCTGCTTGTTTCTGGATCTTCCCGAAAACACGAACAAAGCCTCCGAAGTGCCCAAGAGGTCGCCTGGCCGTCGGGTCAGGCTTGGGTGCTAGCAGTACCACCAGCCTTTGAACTTGAGCTGGGGCCGCGCACGTCACCTGCATCAATTGGAAAATGAGCGACACCACGAG